TTTTCCTCGCACGCGCAAGCGACGGTGGCCAAATGCAATAGGATTCTAGGTTACATTCGTCGGTCGGTTGCAAGTCGGACATCTCGCGTTATTCTTCCGTTGTATGCGGCGCTGATAAGACCCCAGCTGGAATATTGCATCCAGTTTTGGAGGCCTACAAATAAGGGCGATCTGTTGGCGCTCGAGGGAGTACAGAGGAGGGCAACAAGAATGATTAAGGAGGTTAGGGGACTATCATACGAGAAGCGTTTAGAAGTGTTGAGACTGTACTCGCTCGAACGAAGGTTAAGGAGGGGCAATCTCATCCAGGCTTTCGAGATAATTAAAGGAATAGATGATGTCGAATGTGGTAGGTTTTTCCAGTTTTATGACAGCAAGAGAACGAGAGGTAACCGATTTAAGTTGCTTGAACCGCAGGTGCGGCTCAGGTCGAGACAGGAATTCTTTACTTGCAGAGTGGTGAACGTGTGGAATGCGTTAGATGATGAAGTAGTGGCTGCCCCTTCTGTGACTATCTTTAAGAAGAAACTAGATGCTTTCATGGACAGGCAAAAAGGTGGAGGGCAATATTGACCGTAGGTACTAGACAGTAAGCAACTAGGATAGTCAAAAAACAAAACAAAAAAAATACAAAAATACAAAAATATATAGCTTTAAGAGGGTTAGGCCTACCCTAAAATTAAGGAACGCTCTACCTCGACACGTGATATCGAAATGGGCGAAATCGCCTCTTGATATCACTAACTCTCTCCTGACTCTCCTGAGAAAGGAGTGTATCATGTTTATCATCGAAGTGGTAATGCAGGGGTCGGGAACCTCTTTGATCATATGAGCCATATTAAGATTGAGGTAAGTCCTGAAGTTAGCAACAGACATGTGCATCCTTTTGAAACATTAGAAAAATGAGAAACAACCATGACTTTCAGCCATGGCTCAATGAGCCAAACTTTTTAGCTCGTGAGCCAAATTTGGCTCATGAGTCATGTGTTCGTGACCCCTGTGGTAATGGAATAAAGTTGCGTTTTCGGTCAACGTGCATTTTTTTGTCATTGTATCCTGTGTGATAATCATAAATACACGAAGCTGCGGCCTTACAGATGGAATTTCATCTGGGAAACAGCTCGAAGTCACAAATCGTGAAGTCCGGTGAATAAGGAGGATGTGGGAGCAATTTCACCCCACTTGCCATACTGAAGACCGAGGGGGCCTCGAGAATTTCGGTGTTTGGTGCCTTAATTATGACGGTCCCGTATTCGCCCTCCCCCAAACACAGGTCCTGGGGAGTTCCCGAAGGCCAAGGTTGCCGCTCGAGGCCCCTGCGTTAGTAATATACGAATAGGTTAATACGTCGTTGCACGATGGAGTTGGTTCATTGCAGAAGATTTCTTCAAAACGATTCATTTCTGTCTCCATTCAACCTTCTGAGACGTCTCATAATGCCATGGAGAAATTCAGAGGCGATTAAGCACAGAGACTCGAGGAACTTGAGGTTCTTACGGCGATGGGAAGATGACCTAGGCCTAGAGTCTCACCTTCTCGGAGACTTGCTGCATCGGTCCGTGTCGCGAGTCAGTCTCAACGTCGCTTTCAAAGCACATCAATTATTAAACTGAAAATTCCAGGATCAAGGAATTTGCTCATAAAGCGAGAAGAATTTCCTCGAGAACATGCAAAAGGAGGCGGGGACACGGACATCGGACGACGAACTGGTCCATGTCCGTCCCGCCACAACTGCGCGTGCGCAAAGGGGTCCAGGCGTGTGACGTCATTGGAATCGTCTGTTATTTGAACGTCGCGTCGTCTGCTCGAGTTTTGCATCGAGAAATAAAACTTCTCGCATCCCATCCTTCCCCTCAGAAAAGAGCGATTTATATTTGGATACCCAACACCACTTCTTTGACAGAGCAATCGATTCGATAAAAGTTTCACCCGCAAAGACCAGGGTAGGTGGAGGATTTCTTGGAGCAATCAGACCCTGGAGGTCCTACTTTATACACCGCCATGTCCTTCCAGTTTCCACTGAAACAGGAAATTCCGGGAAGCCGTGTGGTGATGCTGTGTCATCTTGTGAGATTTCGAAAGTTCGAAAGGGTAACTCACGCTGGTAAGTAGTTGCAGACGTATCGAATGAGCCGCCTGGACTGCGTCACGTATTCGATGGCGCCACAACCGACCTTTCGGGGAAGAAAAAAAAACGTGAATCGCGAATATTCGAAGCTCGCTTTCGGGCGTCTTCGAACTCACTTGACAGGACGTCGCCCAAACGAGCTGCGTGTAGTGGCCCACCGCTGCGTTGAATCTGAAAGGATCGGAACGGATAGGCGAAGTCCTGGAATCGCCCTCGGGAAGCAAAAAAAAAAAGGAACCTACTCGAATTTGCCGACGAGGGTATTGTTGAAGTTCTCAACCTCCTTGTACCAAGCCTGGATGATATTGCTCCATTGATTCCCCTGGGGAGGACTGGTGATGCTCTCGTTCACCAACCCCGCGTTCTGTCCCACCACCTGATCGCCTGTCGACATTCACGCATTTCGCTTTTGCCTTCCCTGTTTCATTTCGGAGCTACTCAATAGATGGCAGGAGTAAAAATGCGGACGTGCGAGCGGTTTTGCAGTGTATCCCTTCCGCGCGACTATAATCGAGAAATTTCCGCTAACCATAGGACGCTCCGTCTCCTGGGATCACCCTAAGAGCACCCCAAGAACACCCCAGGAACACCCTAGGAGGACCCTAGGAGCACCCTTGGAGCACCCTTGGAGCACCCACCAGGAAGGAAAGACTGTTGGACTCACTGGACAGGATCTTCCGGCAGTTGTAGCAGTCGTGCATGGGGGAGTTGCATTGATTCGCGTTCGCCTGGGCCACCATCGCCAGCTCTGGGTTCCACGTCTAAGAAATAGGGCTCTTTTCCGTCCAAAGTTCTCTCGTTTCGTTCGCTCGCTATGATACGGTTTTTCTAGTTTTTTTTTTTCCATTTCATCGTCTTCCCTTCATTTTGACTGTTGGTTTTTATTTTAATTCTCATTTCATTGGGTCTCACGATCGACGAAACCGTTCGCCGCACGACCTTTCAGTAAGATAGCCTCGTCTCTCTTCGGCCTCGTCGGTGAAATAAAGTGTTCGAGCGAAAAAGAAACCCCCGAAAAAAATTGAATTCGATCGGAATCCCCTCCCCTCCCGTCAGAAAGCCATACCATCTCGCACATGTTGGCAGCAGACGGCTGCGCCCCCGCGCTGCCCCGAGGCTCCTGCCCCACCGCCACCCTCCGCCTCACGTTGTTATGCTCCGCGAGGATGGCATCCCGCTCCTCCACGGTCACGCCGTCCCTGACGACCTTGCAGTCGTCGGGCGGCCGGCACACGGAGTGCGTCTCGCCTTTTCCCACCAGGCCCTTGTACTTGTCGCACTGGCCCTCGGTGTCCTTGGCTCGCACAGCCCACGTCTCCGGGCGGCGGGTCGTCGTTGGGGAGGTCGTCGTGTTCAAAATCTCCACTTCCGGTACGTTCACTGCAAGTCCATTTTCATTCTTTTTTTATTCCTCTTTCTTTCATGACTCGTACGTTTTAATTTTATTCATGTTATGCGATGTTTAAAAAAAAATTCGTTCACATTCGTGCATTCACCTTTATACATCCTACGCTCTCATTTCCTCACGAATTACCAGCTCATCGACATCCATTCCTCTTCATTTAACGCATCCACTCGTCCATTTCCGCTCGTCATCACCCCCCGCCCCGCCCCGCCCCGCCCCGCCCCGCCCCCAAGAACCCCCGAACACGTGCCGAGAAACTCGCAGACGGAGGGAAGCCGGACTCCACAGTCCTCCTCCTGCCATCCCCCCGCGTCCATGTAAACGCAGTCGTGCTGCTCCGGGCTCGCCGAGCGACGTAGGACCTTCGTGTTCGCCAGGGAGTTGTAGCCGGTCGGGTTGACCCACGCGAAGACGCCCTCTTGCGCCCTGTCGCTCAGTCCGATCCACGCCTTCGTCACTCCTAAGAGAACCAGCTTTTCTTTTCATCCGAGCGAAATTCTCTCGTTCGTAAAAAAAAATAATAATATTAATTAATTAAAAATAAATGAAGCAGAAGCGAATGGAAATCGGGACGGAAAATAATTCCACCGTATTTAAATTGGGATTTTCGAAGGAAATGTTTGTGGATCTTGAGTACACCTCACGGCTAGAAAAATCACGTTTCTTCCAGCATTGCATAATAACAATATTGAAATATTGAAACGTAAACATATTTTCCGGCTTTCCAAATCTCGTTAATCTCGATATATTTATCGCCGTGAGAACCGTCTCGAGGATGAGCCTAGTGGATCGCGGGAGTCGAAATGGCGTCGGCGAGGTTTGCAACACGGTTTGCAACACGGTTTGCAACATGGTTTACGGCATCTCGTGTTTCGAGTCCAAAAGGGGAACCTCGGTGACTTTCGTAACGCAAATTTCGACGCTAAATATTCGCACTCTGCAATTGCCAAACGAAAGGTTTCAGCGTCAGTGGGTGCGAAATGTTTGAAGGGCAAAACCGAAGCCCGAAAACTGAAGAAATACTGAAGATACCCCTAGAGGTACTCCTTGAGGTACTGATGCCTCTTGGAATGGAAACTGAGATGCTGGTGGAAAAAAAAAATTAAAAGCAATCTCGATATCTTTTTGGTTGCTTTACCATAGTGACCGAAATGCACTCATTTAAACAGAGGAAGTGAATGCTTAAGCCGAACGAATCCAAAAATACTCTTCAGGAAATTGTGGAAATGTCAGAGAATCCCTTAAACGCTTTTATTATTTTTTTTAATTCAACACGAGAAGGAAAGAAATGTGAACCAGGAAGGATCCAGTTGGGATCTGGAAACCTAGAATATCGGCCTCTTTTTTTACAATTTCCACCGTGAGAAGACCGAGGCACTCGGCGGAATGAGATTTTCAAAAGCGTTCGTGATCGTTTGTGAAAATTTTAACCGAGAAAAATTTTCATTGCATCTTTTCACACATGATCGAGTAAATTCCCGACACGGGATCGCCTGTTTGGAACTTTCCGAAACTCGGAAAAAAAAACCGCCTCACCCGCGTTCTGCAGCATGCTGCCATAGTACCCCTTCCACCTGGCGTCGTCGGCCATGGGGATCTCGGCGAGGAACCCGCCCCAGCCGACGCAGTCGAGCCGGGCCTCGTCCCAGGGATTCTCCCCCGTCGCGATCCCCATCGTCAGGGTCTTGTCCAGCTTCAGGTACGGCTTCGGCCTTACGCTGCCCTGCCGAGAGCGAGTTGGAGCCGACTCTTATGAAATCCTCATGAAATCCTCATAAAATCATCATTAGATCCTCGTTAGATCCAGCGACTTCGCGAGCGATTTGGCGCCTTTGTTCTCACAGATGAAATTCCCGACTTCCATCTCCGTGCGGAATGAGTTGTTGCCTCGAAGTCGTCGCACTTTGGCTTACAAAAATCGGCGACTCTCACCTGAACGGCGACGAAGCCCAAGATGAACGCGGAAATCCACATCTCGAATGCGATAAAAACTGGTTCGACGCGTTGAACCCCATCCCCTTTTATAGCGATGCGGGATCCTATAACGTTTCCTCCGGATCGATTCCGTCTTTGAAAGCACCTGTCCGCGGTGCCAATGATCCCTTCCGATCACCTGCTCCTCATTATTCGTCTGATCACCTCTAATTATGAAGAAAAAAAAAACCTCGGAGGAGATGAGAACCGAGAGAGACCAGACATTTATTTCCGAGATGAACGAATCGAGATCGAAAATTTTTCAGAACAAATCGCCATCGAAGGAAACAGAAATGGAATAAATGGAGAAAATTCGAAGAAGAAACGGAATTCGAAAACGAAACGGAATTCAGAGATGAAATTTGAAGAGCTTGGAGGGTTCGAGCTGGGCAACATAGAGAGCGGAGCCGTCCTTGGAAATCCCGACGTCGTGCGGACTCTCGAAACCCTAAAAAAAAATAAAGGTCATTCGCATCCATTTTTCGATTGGAGGAGGTGGAGGTGGAGGAGGAGGTGGTGGAGGAGGTGGAGCACCTGGGTGGGAGCGAAGGAGTGGAGGAGTTTCCCGTCCTCGAGGTCGAACACCAGGCCGGTTGGAGTCCTTTCGAGGAGGCCGGCGGAGTAGCCGGTCACCCCGTACAGATAGCGACCTTTAAGGAGGACGGTGGGGGAAAGGTCAAGACTTTGAGGATCCTTCTCTTTCAACGTTCTGCATCCTTTTCGCAACGCTCAAAACGTTTCCGACGAACCGAAAATCTTGTTTTCATCAAAGCAGCGATTTGAATCGCTGGAAAAACTAGGATTCTGGTAAGACCAGCAACTTTGGTTTAAATTTTTGCAAAACGCATCGCAAATGTTGTGGACAGGCGTAGTGCCAATGAGGCATTGAAGTGACATAAATAGCCTAAAGTTTTTTTTTTTTTTGGAGGGGGTGATTTCATGAATATGAACTCGAATGGCGCACAGAATAAAAGCTCTTTAAAAAAAAATTCTCCCACATGATACATATTTTCCCTGAACGAACCGCCTCTCCCGAGCAAAATTACGCCAGAAACTCGAACGATCCATCTTCCAACAGAGTCAATCTAAAAAAAAAAAATGTAAGGATTGCTCGCCCGGAGAAAAGGCTTCCCTAAAAGCCTGAATTAAATTGCAAAATTTAATTTTAAAAAATGTTGAGATCCAGCGACACCCAATCGCAACCGCCCACCTCTGCTCGCGATGGCGTAGATGGGCCCCGCCCGCCTCGTGGGAACGTCGAGCACGACCCTCCCCGCCTCCTCTGGCCTCGCCAGCCCCGCCCCATAGCAGACGATCCTTGAATGCTCCCGGTCCGCCACGCACAGCAAGTCCCGATCTTCCACCAGCGCCAGACTATGGGGCACGGCCAGCTCCCCTGGCGGACGGACGGAAATCTCTCGTCAAGGAGCGCAGCGAGCCATCGGGGAATCAAAACGGATAATGGACTGGAAATTCAATGGTTGCACGAACGATTGTGGTTTTGAATACGACGTTTCTACAAGCTTAGGGAATTTGTTGGTAAAGAAAAGAATAATAGGTTCCGTATTCGTCTGTCTTTTATTTATTATCATTATATATTTTTATTACTTACAAGGACTCTTCCTCCGCCTCCAACGAGAAGGCTTCGGGAGTCCGCTTTTTTCATCGCACTAAAACGCCAATTTTCAACTCATCGAACACCCAGCTGGGATTCCACCCGAGCTCGCTTCGACCCCTCGATCCACACTCGCTAAATGCCTTTAATCGAGCCGAGTGGGACATTAAAAATGGAAGCAATCCCGCCTCGCCTTCACTTCGCAGCCGATTAAATCCACGAGCGAAAAAGCGCTTCGATTCGATTCGTTCCGGCCGACGAATCTCCAAAAAGTACTACTAAAAGTACTAGAGAGAGAGAAGTACCTTTGCCCCATTGGTCGAGGAGGGTCCCGTTGGCGTGAAATTTGAGGATCCGGCTGTTGCAGTACCCATCGGCGACGAAGAACGAGCCCGTCCGCTCGGACACGGCCACGTCGGTCGGCTTGCAGAAGTGTTTCTCGTCGCTGCCCGGTTGGAACGCCACGCCGAGGCTCAGCTCTGCCTTCCAGTCGGGCGAGAACTGAGGGAGGGAGAGGAGGAGGCAGGGGGGTCATGCGGTCTATAGTGCGTTTAGGGCGGACTTGGCGCTTCGTCGCGATCGGGTTTCTTGGATCTCCTTCGGGAGTCTCGGTTTTGAAAAATTCTTCTCCGTCTTTCAGCGGCAGAAATCGACCGGCTAGAAAAAGCCCTCGGTGGAAAAGGTAATTGAGACTCTCATGCTCGCACCAGGGCATCGCGGAACATCGAAACTCTTTCCCCCCCTCGACGGCCTGCATCGAAGGACCAAAATCCAGCTTCGATTCTCCGATTCTTCGATTCCATGAAGCACACCGTCGCGGCGTTCGTCTCACGATCGAAGCGATGCACGACCGCTCATTTCAAGTCTCAACCCAGTGGTTTCGCGACGAGTTGGAATGCGCCTCGAGATCCAGGAAGACTGGCGGTTCCAAGTGCCTTCCTGCAGACTTCAAATTCGAATTTTGCAATGCGTTTTTTGTAGGAATTCGTCCAGGAAAAAAAAAAAAGAACTTTGCTTGAGTCTTTCACTTATCCACCTGCGCACCAATTTTCGCAGCGGCATATCAACATTTTAAAGAGTCTGATGGGCGGAAAATCATCCAGGCCTACAACGGATCCCTGAAACAGGTCTAGGCCAAGCACCTCAATGCAGTTGCCTAATCCGTACAAAGATGGCGCCAGTGCATTTTCGTCCCAGATTGATCAAATGTCGACATTTTTACAACGTGAAAAGAAATCATAACAAAGGATTTCAAGGGCTTTCGAATGGTGTGTCAGGCTAGATTGCGTCCAAAATTAATGCGAAGGTCATTTTGGTCAGGTCAAAGGTCAACTCTAAAAAAAAAATCTAAAGCGACTCGGACCATCTGCAGGAAATTACAAATCGAATGAAGTATCGATGGTGGAAATCGGTTGAGAAACCTAGGAGGAGTTCACAGGACAAAATCCGGTCCTACAGACATCCACCGGTCGTTATAGATGTTATCGTCGAACAACCAGTGTGTGTGACACACAGACACACAGACACATTTCCTTTCAGGAAAGGAGCCTGAATAGAAAAGGCACTCCACTTCCGCCGAGCAAGTTTTCTTGCTATGGCTTCACTCTATGAGCTTGAGACAGGGCCCTTTTCTCCCCGACAGCATTAGAAGTTTCTATTCCATATTTCGTTAATGAACTCCTTCTCGGTATTTATCTCGGGAGATGAGCCGATTCCCCCTTGACATTACAGCGCTTGGCAAGCCTTTTTCTTTTCGAGAATCATCCTATTCCTTTGAAACTCGGGTGAATCCTACGACGCACTTGCAAGAGTTCGCGTACCGAATGTCATCGAATCCTGCTCAACTCCTTCGTCTTCGCAAATTTCAGCGGCGGATGGTATCGATCAAGAAACCCTCACCAGGGTGATTAGGGGGGGGGAGGGGGGGAGGGGGGGTAGGGGGGGCGAACCGACACCCCCCAACCAAACATCTCCACCGTAAAGCCCCCAGAAATGGGAAAATCCCTCGTCGAACTGGAAGATCCCCCCCACCCCAGAAACTGACCTTGAAAACCTGATGACTCGCGACATCGGTGACCCAGAAGTTCCCCTTCGCGTCCACCGTGAGTCCATGCGGGAGATAGAAGGTCCCGTTCCCGTGCTCCCCAAGCACCTCCCCCGTCTCCTGGTTCAACACCAGCACCGTCGGCACCGGGATCGGCCCGCTCTGGATTCCCTGGTACCGGTGCCTCCCGTCGAAGGAACTGGAATCGATGGCGCATTAGAGAGACCGGGACGGAACCGGAGCCGGATCCGGACGAGAGAGGGGCGGGGTCGGGACTCACTCGATGTCCCACTTGCGATCTCCCCGGTGGAAGACGACCGGGTGTCCGTTCGGGTCCACGTCCACTCCCGAGATCTCTCCCAGCCCCGCGATCGGGACCCTCGGCCAGTGCCGGACTTCTTCGAGGCTACCCCATCCCTGCGGCGACGAAACGACGCCATCAAAATCATCAAAGGCAGGAGGTATTCTGTGATGGGTCTTGGACGTCTGCGAAGAGATCCGGAGCGGCAGGGTCCTTTCGTCCGGCGACCGCCAGATGTCTCTCTCGTCTGCGGGGCTTCCTCGGCCTCGCGACGCGTCCGCTGACTTTTGGGATATTTGCGTGAGGAGGAGCCATCTGGATATCCGTCTCGTAGGAGCCAAAAACGAGAATTCCCGATCGTGGAGTCTCTTGGGCGGTAGTTGACCGGTGGGCCCACTGATGGGCCGTGGAGGTGTCGCGGGTGGGCCGCAATAGGTATCCGTAAATTTAAAAATAACGATTAACAGATAGACGACAAAAACTATATTGCTTTCAAGTCTGTAGTGGGCCTTGGATCACTTCGCAGTGGTTGAGGTGGGCCGTGCCAACCAGAGTCGATGGTCTTCGCTCAAACATTTTTGGGCACGAATGAATCCTCTCCTGAGGAAACTCGTAATGAGCTCTCGAGAACTCGTTATCAAGGCGAAGATCGCGTCATATTTCCCGACCGATCGAAGACAAGATCAACCACGTCATTTGAATTCCGATTGCACGACTCTGCAATTCTTTAGATCCCACCACGGGCTCGAGTCCGTCCCGCGGATCCGTCCCGCAGGCCCGAGTCCGTCCCGCGGGTCCGTCCCGCAGGCCCGAGTCCGTCCCGCGGATCCGTCCCGCAGGCCCGAGTCCGTCCCGCGGGAGGATTCGATCACCGACATTTCCGTCCATACGGACGGGTCGGGCGTCACCGCTCCAGACGTTATGCACGCGCTCCGGGCGGATTTTCCCCTCGGAGAAACTCCTCCCCGAACGCGGAAACCCCCGCAACGACGACACGAACGAATCCACAGAAAATCTATCTCTAGACCAGAATCGCCGAGACCGACACGACGCACGAGCCCGTCCCCGCAGACCCCGAAACCGACGAGAAGCCACGAAAAGCCTCCTCTCACGTTTCGCTGTCGCAGCAGATACTGAGCGAGGTAGTCGAGGATGCCCTCTTCCCCCGAGTCCACCGAATCCGTGCAGACGAACCCGAGCAGAGCCAGAAGGAGGACGAAACTCAATGCCGCCATGACGCCTCTCGTCCTCCACCCCCTCCCCCCTCCTCCATGCCGTTTCCATGGCAACCGGACTGACGTTCTAGCCCCTATCGATCTGCTCCATTCGGTGACGAAGGAGACGAGAGTTCGAATCCCACGGCTTCCTTTCTTTATTTTCATACTTTTTCTGTTTTTGTTTTGTTTTATTTCTCTTTTTTTTGCGTTTGTCGTTATTTATTCATTCATTTTGTTTTCATTTTTATTATTTTCATTCGATAGCATCATTCTATTTGTTTTATTTTGTTCACATTTTACTTTTATTTTACATTATTGTTTTACTTATTGTTTTTCATCTTTTCCTGCATCGCTGCCCTTCCCATAACTCCAAACGAAATTCGGACGTTGAAATCCTTCAATCATACAGCCTTCCGAAGGCAGTTGAAGGAACTCTTTCTCTCACACCCGCTCTACTCATTCTCAGAATTCTTTGATATTACCTGGTAAACTCCCCTCCTACCCCACATCAG